GGCTTGTCCCCGGGGGCTGGAGGGGGTGATTGGTTTCGAGCTTTGGTCAGAGCTCCTTCTTCAGCCGGGCTGGCAGGTCACCCCAGTTTTCGGTCTTCGGTTCTGGCCGGAGTCCGATGTCTGGTTCCTCGGTGGTGCTCAGGTCTCGGGTCGGTATTTGTGCTTGTGGGCTGGGCGGACAGGTGGTTGATTCGGGCAGGGCTTGTTCCAGCGGGCAGGGTCAGAGCGGCCGAGCTTTGAGATCGGTTCGTCCCCTTCCTCCTATTTCTCGGCTTTTGAGTTAGTGGGAGGCCGTCCGTTTCCAGAGTTGGCTAGTGGTGCTAGGCAATTTTGGGATGGGTTCGGATTGGCTAGTGGTATTAGCCGGTGAGGGGGGGGCGATAGTGATTTCTTGCGGTCGGTGTATGGGTTGGTTTCGTTGGTTTGCTCTGGGTCTTTGGTCTTCGTCTTGCTAGGCCTTCTGCAGTGACAGGCGTGGTACTAGAGCTTTGGTGCTCTCCTCAGATCTGGCTTTGTCTGTTGTCTTCTTCGGACGCTTCTGCTGAGGGAGACTTCTCGTTATTGTTTAGGCTTTTGTCTTTCTGTAGTTTTGCTTTTGTGTGTTGTGCTATTTTGGTCTTGTTTGTGCTTCAGTGCTTTAGGTTTGGGCCGTCGGCCTCGGTTAGCCCAAGTGTGTATTTATTATCCTTTTGGGATTGTACACTCGGGCATTACCCTGTTGGGGTCATTTTGTTTGTTTGTTTGTTTTTTAATTCTCCCATTGGGAGTTTTAGGTGTTGTCTGTGTTTAGTTTGTGTGTCCAGAGTGGCGTGTCATCTATTAAACAACTCAGGATCATTGATGGCAATTTGTTAGACCCCAACCACTCAGGAGGATGATATTGTTCACCATGATAAGGTGTTATGAATCCCGGAATGTTTGCATATCCGGAGTCCACTACATAGTATTTACCTGTATGAATAGATTTTTAATTGCACTGAATAAAAATTGTAAAATTCAATGTTAAGTAAAATAACTTCGGAATGTTGTCAGGGTTGAATTACCGGGTGGCGGGAAGGGGAAACGATATGTTGGGTCCGACAATGTATCATTAAAGACCCGTGCGTCATTTGCGCTGTCTTCCCAGCCTGCTAACACAAGAGTGAACTTCAAGTCGAAATCGCATGCCAACATAACATTTTGCGTTAAAAATCTTTTCCTACATTTGTAGGTTCCTTGTTGTCCTGCGCCGACCCAAGCTGGTATAATTGTGCCGTCAATTGCCCCAATACAGTCCTGCATTACAAGTTTCATTCACCGCTAGAATTACATTTATGCGATTTACGACATACAAAGTGAAAAATTTTAAAGTTACCTTGAAGTAGGGGTACAAATTCTGATTATTTCTTATCCACGGTGCGACACGATTGAAGTCCGGGGGATGAATGTAGTCTGGTGCAGGATAACAAAGAGCACTTATGACTTTATGACAATGACAAAAATCGTCTCCCCCGAGTGTCTAAATGATTCTACCGCATGCCTTTGCCTTTGATGGCCTTTAATTGTATGTAGAAAAATAGCTACACTTTCTTCAATGCCTATTTTTTGTTGTCTAGTTTGTTCGTGGAATCCCGCCCGTTTGATCTCGTCACAAAGCATGCCAAAATGAGATTTATTTATACCATAGCATCTTTGAAGCGGCGCGGATTTCCCACCTATAATTCATTTAGCCAATTTAGTCCCGTGTAAGTGGATTCTGGATAGGGTGTTCTTCTTAAGAGGGGAAATGCACTCCCCGAAGTCTCAAAAATATTAACAAGTTGTTGGAACTGAGCCCCCACCATTAACGATGTTTCAAAGGCCTCATTGTCTTCTATATTCTCTAAATCACTATCAATATCTTTGGGCAAATCCTCCACCTCTTCCTCGTACGTGTCACTATCGTCTACGTAAGACATCCTACAAATATTTTAATTTCATAAAATAACTCTAGTACAAGTGTTCATATACAGAAAATAAGGTGTAGCTTGTAGGAAGTCAACATAGTTAAAAGTGAAAGAATGTACGGTGCAAGAGAAATTGAAAAGAACAACATCCAACAACATGTAAAGAGCAATAAAAATATAGACAATCCCCCTTCACTGATCACCAGGACCCTCATCAATCCATATTTTAATAATATGACGATGCCTCTCGTCGGAAGTAATCACCAGAAACATTGCTCGATTGGTTGGATCCCGTAACTTCTTGCAGGCAAAATAGAAAAGTCTCTCCTCCATATCCGACATTGCTTGAAGGGTGCACATAGCTTGTTCCATTGTGGTTGGCTTCAGGGGTCGGTTGTTCCTTTCTCTAAGGGATACGTTCAAGTTGGACCATGAATGCATGGTTGTGTCGAAACTAGACTCGACGCCTCTCCTTTGACGAACACACCGATTCTGCCTGCCATGGCGTCCATGAGACGTCGGGGTAACCATTGGATCGTCATCTTGCTCGGAAAAGAAATCAGGGCTGAAATTTTCGGTTGGTTGACCGCCCATACTTCATTCCTCGGCCAACCTTTGAGTCGATGCCCTTGTATTCGACCCCGTAGCAGTCGTCCCGTGGAAAATAGTAGTCAATTCCTCGTAGTTCACACACGTCCTGTTCTCCAAGTCATGATCCTTTCGATTTGCCTTTAATAAAGAAGGAAGAAAAACGAAAATTTTTAGTACCAAACACTGTGTAATACATGAACAATACAAACCAAATCACAGTTTCAGACATGAAGTTAAGGTGTCATATTAACTAAAGCATAGGCCAAGAAAAAAAAATTAGCAATCACTCCAGAACAAAGCATCAAACTTCAGGCAATGTTATAAGAAGTTAATGTGCCATATTAACTAAAGCATAGGCCAGGAAAAAAAAAATTAACAATCACTCCAAAACAAAGCATCAACTTCAGGCAAGTTATAAGTCAAGCATAGTACATTCCTAAGATCTAATTTAAGACATAAAAAGCATTTTCTATCTAAGCTTATTAAAAAAAACTTACAGTTGTCCAACGTTGCCAAGCTTCCTCGCTGCCCTTAATAACTTTTTTCTCGGCATCCCATGACAATCCAGTTGTTTTCGTAAGGAGGGTATGGAACCTTTTCCAATATACTTTCAGTCGTTGGTACTTGTTGTGCAACTGCTTTATTTTATAAGGGTAGAAGGTTGGACACTGCTCGGTCAATTTCCCAAGAATGGTCAACCATTGATTGGGTGTGAATTTTTCGGTTACACAGTTTCCCAACAGCACTTCATCCAACAAAATATTCACAAAGACAGCCTCATTTTCAGGAGGCCATTTCGCGTTTACCAGATGGAGTTCCAATTGCACAGTTACCCGACATCTAGATTTACAAGAAACAACAAAGCAAGTATAATGTGGTATTGCAGTCTTCAATTATAGGTATAACCCAATTATATTTGTTTACAATGACCAATCATCAACAACAACAAAAACAAAATCCGTCACTTGGTATCATCTCGCTAAGAAATGCACAAAACACTAGAGTCCATCCAAAATTTTGTACACATTTATTCAACCTCATATGAGACACAAAAAGTAGTGGCCCGTGCCTCAAAGGAATCCAATGTTCTTAAGCCCCAATTCAATTAAAAGAAAGGTAACCTAATAAAATACCTTATAAAATTGCAGCAATGTCATTAACAACAATTTAAACAATCATAGTAAGATCACAGCAGAAATGAAACACAAATCCTTCACTGAACACGAACATGGCCCGCAACCTTTTTTTTTTTTCTGTGATTCTAAACAAAGAAATTCTCACTATTTATACAGATGAACTTAAAAACGTATATTTGAAGTCTGCAACATGCATCGAGCATTTGAATTTCACTGTGAAATAGGACTATAGTACCTTTGTTGGCCGGAGTCTTTTTTTTCCGGAGATGTCATAGAGACGCTGCCGGTGCTCTCAGTTGTTCCTTCAGCTCGCAGATCTTCCCTTCCTTCGCCGTTAGCTTCAGCTGCTGTTACTGGATGTTCTTGTGGTGGGGAGGGATCCATACGATGCAGAGGTTTTTGGACCCAAATTTATGGAGGAAATTATGGAGGAAATTTTGAGTTTAGTATGTATGGTTGTAGAGAACAACTTTTCGGATTTGAAAGATCGGTAAAAGTAGTCAAAAAGTAAAACAATAGTATTGAATGGTAGCAGGTGATGTTGGTGGTGAGAATAATGTTGTGGGCCACATACAACCAATGGTAGCAGGTGATGTTGGTGGTGAGAATAATGTTGTGGGCCACAGACAACCAAATTGAATTGGTATCCAATCACATACCCAACAGTGAAATTGAGTACAAAACTAGATTTTTACTAGTAAAATTGATATCCAATCGCCCCCTTATTAAAATAAATTTATTATTTGAAATAACATGTAACTAAATTTAAATAAAATAACTAAATGTATATCGGAGGTGGTGAGAGTGTCAAGGCGCCGACGGAGAGAATTGAGATGATATTCATTCCTCTATGTCACCCCTACGCTCCATGAGTGAGATCGTGCGACACAATCAAGACCGATGGGCAAACGCTCTCGCTGGCTCGGAAGTAGGGGAAGTACTCATATATCCAGGAACGCAAAAGAGTCATGCAGCCAGACAGGTCATGTGCGTCCCAACACAAGTGATTGTGTTTTCTCTCAGTGATTGACAATAAAAATTTTTATTTTATTTATTATATAATTTTTCTAAATATTATTTTAATAATTTATGAAAATGAACGTTTAGGAGTAAGAAGATTGATTGCTCACTATGGGGTGATTTCGTTGATCGACTTTTGGAAATTGAAAATAAATATGCAATGATCGTCATCCACATTTGTTCATTGTTCATCTTTGCCAAATAAAACCATGTGGAGGTATTTTTGTTAAATTATTTTATAATATATTTATATTTTGTTAGTTAAAATATAAATGTTGTTAATTAATTTATAATATATTTATGTTTTGTTAATTAGTTTGCATGGAGGATGGTGTGCCTACAAGGCAAAATATGTTGTCTACAAGAAGATTTCTAATAATATATACATATATATACATATTAATTTTTTATTTCTAAATATTTAATTTTTTTATTCACTAATATAATAAGACTGGGTAAATAACCTTCAAATTATCCACTCCGTGTATCACACGAGCTCTGCACTAGTTATTGTATAATAGAGAGATAGATTTACATGAAATAGTATTAAAATTCTTGCTTAAAAATTTCAAAGCTACTATTCTTAGTATTTTTTTTTTCAAAATGACGGCTGAATGAAAATTCAAATTCAAATTAAAAAAAAAAAATTATTTGAGAAAGATATCGTATGAACCTTATTCTTAAAAATATGGGCAATGATTTCCTCAAATGCTACGGCTAAATCTGGCAAATAATGAGAAAAATCTTGAAAATCTTGCTTCAAAAAAATCCGGTGAACCATTTCTTTTAATTTTTTCGGTCAAAGGTGTAAATTTTGTTACAAAAATTCAGTCAATCATTTAACGAATAAAACACTTTTTTTTTTGTAAAGTCATTCCAAAAAGTCATGTCAACTTATTTATTTTATATTTTTTTATCCATATTTATCTATCTACAAATCTCATATTTTATGGTCACAATTAATAATTCGTATTTATTTAATAAAGAATGTTAATGTAAAAAAACAATTTTTATATTTTGGGTTGTTCAATTTTTTTTTTTTTCCAAAACGATAGAAGTACTATATAAAAGGCGCACAAAAGTGCGGAATTACAAACTGGGAGGCTAGACCGAAGTCCGCCTAGAATCGCTGGTAACGCCAGAAGAAAACCAAACTCAAACACAAACAACTAGAAACTAGCTCCCAACGAGAGAGAAAAAAGACTACTAAAACACAAACACAGAACAAAAGGCTCCCAACAGGAGAATGCCTAGGTGTTGATTTGATGATTTTTTTTTTTTCATATTTATCTAACTACAAAATTTTTTAATGTTTAGAAAGAATCTTATATTATGTGGATTTTTGGCATCTATCTTTTTTTTTGGTACACATCTAATGAATAATTAGTTAAGATGAATATTAGAAAATGAAACAAATCATATTGCCTCTATTTGACAATGCGTCATTTTTGTTTGAAAAAAGCAGATTACAAATTTAACAAAAAATGTTACTTTATTCTTATATAAGATTTGATATTCAATCGGTTAGAATAGAAGTTAAAGAGGGTCAAAATATCTTACATCAGATTTTAGTATATGTTTTTTTACATATATATGCTCTCCCTTTTTTTTCCTCGCGTGGAATTTAGCAGTATTGTTATGTCA